CAATTATGTGAGACGAAATGATTTCGTTTATACATTATCTCTCCAAAATTGTTATGCTAGTAGAGTTTTGGAGGGTCAGCCTAAATTATTAATGTACATTAAATCTTCGTCTAAACTGTTCCATAGCTGGATAATAGTTTTTAAAATAAGGCAAAAACAATGTCTGATAAAGAGTTAGTACGGTTTTATTTGAAAGTATGGGTCTGGCTTTTAGCAAATTTGCAGTACCGTACATTTCTATTAGCTAACGTATTTTTAAGAACTAATATGATCTTGCCAATCATACCTTTCATGAGTTGATCTGACTAGATAGATTTTAATATTGTCAATAGTCTAACATATTATTAATGAACGGAGTAGCTGATCAGGTAGGCACAACGATTCCAACAGCCCCCCCCCCCCTCGTCCTTCTTCACACACTCCAACCCTCACCCAAAGATCGTGATTTGCGATTGCCATGACACTGCGCATTTGATGTTCGCAAGTGTGTTACGAAATAACCGTCCCCATTCAACCTTGTGGATTTGTGGTGTGACGAGGTGACTGTGACGTCTTGACTGCACCGGTGTGACGAAATGACCGTGTGACGAAGTGAGTGGTATTCGGTGTAACAGGTCAAATGTCGTGGTCCTCAATGATTCTTTTTGTTGCAATCCATCCCCTGAGGACAGTATGAGTTTGAGTTCGGTAAGAGTTTTATGGCTTACAACTGCTTAAGGTCATAGTTTTACGAGCGCTCTGGACACAAGCTGATTGTATTCAAGTCGTTTCACAGCCCGGCTTGGTATTACTATCAAGTCAGAATCGTTGAAGTTAAATACATACTAAAATTCAGTTTTAAATCAGCAATTTACACTTTAAAAAATAAAACACTATTTACATGTTACTGTAAAAACCAATGGTCGTTAGAATATCGTGAAATCTGTTCGGATCAACGATGAAGTATAAATTTTTCAAGTAGTACATTCAGAATATTTTCTTCGGGTGTTTCTGAAGTCCGGACATCTATTACGATAAGTTCAGCATCGCACCCGAGACAATTATTTTCTCTCCCTGCAGGGTGTGGCCTGTTTTGGGGTCAAACACGGTGAAGGTTTTCGGCTGTGTGCTTTGGTTTCTTGATTTGATCGATTCAGTAGATCTTTTAACGTAGGCCTACTATTGATACAGTTTTGGTCACGTAAGAGTACCCCCTCCCCCCCCCCTCCCAAAAAATGCATTGTCACTAGTTTAATTTTTTAATAAAAGGACTGACAAACATAATGTATACATTTTTTGTAAATGTGGAAGAAGTTTTAGTTATTTACAATTTTAGTAGCATTGTATACAATTTTGTGAAATTCGATTTGTTTTAAACAAGCCTATTTCTTTAATAAAATTTAGTATCGTCTTGATTTGTATCTTGTGTTGGGGGAAATCACTGACGTAAATAAAAAGTAACTGAATGGGTTATTATTAGGATACGTAAGATTCGGGACCTCCGAATTTAACGTCTGTCTCTGATAAGACCGAGCCTACAAGCCTGAGATTCTTGGAAACCGAACATACAATCCGAGTTCAAGAACGTCCGTTCTCGGATTCGAAACAGAGTCATTCGATTCGTAGCCCAGCACGATACCAAAATGAGCTAACGGAACGGCCCTTTGCAGATAAGGAACGGAAAGATCTACACATTCTACAAAATATGCACGCTTCAAATGTTATCCCGACTCGAACGAATTAGTGGTCACAGAATCAATAACTTCACCATAAAATAAAGGAAATCCTTCACAGAAAAGAACTCTATACCTCGCAATGTCTAATTAGGTGAAATTGCAAAAGAAACAAGTGCAAGAGAAACAACAGTAGGGACAGCGACCTCGACAGAAGCGACCTACATCACGCGCACACGCGCGCACACACACACACACACACACACACACACACACACACACACACGCGCGCGCGTGCGCGCGCGCACACACACGCAC